AAATAGTCTATCTTCATTCTCATCTAATCGTAATTCCAAATCTGTAAATCCCAATAGATAATATTCTGGTTTTTTCTTAAAAACTCTCTTCAAAATATTTGTAGCTCTTCATGTACTTTCGTCCAATACTTCTCTATTTCTTTACACGTCCACCACATATGATAAAAAGTACCTGTTTGATGGCAACCCTTCCAACATTTATCAGAAGTATTCTTGTTCATTAAAGATAATTTCTTAGGAGTGGTATACCATCTGTGGAACATTTTTATCCAGTTTTCTTTTAAATCTATTGCATATACATATTTCATTTTTTTCAATTTCAATACTGTTTTCTGATGGTTTTGGAGACCCCTCTGACACCCCCTCACGACCCCCTCAGGGGTCCCGACCCCCAGGTTGAGAAACACTGATCTAGTCCAACCTCCTGCCATGCAAAAAAAGAAGACAGAGAGTCACTTGGAGGATTGTGTTTTTTTTTTTTATTAAAGGTCACAACGTAGAGCTGAGAGAGAGTGATCCTCATGTGCTTTATGGGAATATAACCTTGGCATGTAGAAAACAGAAAGGCTCGGCTGTCCATAGCAGAACATGAGCTGGAAGTGCCATCTACTCTTCGAGGAGCTGAGTGGGTTGAAGCGTCAATCCAGTGCTGTCCTCAGAATAATGGAAATCGGCACAGGTAGCCATGCAGTTTGGAACAAAAGTCAGCATTCCATTTCAGGTAATCTGGGGGTCAGAAAAATGATATATTACACCGGTGGATTTTTCAGCTCTTTCATGTTGCCTTCTGACTGAAATAACAACTTCTGGTGAAACACATTATCTGCCTTCTAGAGCAAAGACCTGGAATGCACTGCTTTTGTTTTCCTCTGTGTAATACAAAACTGGATTAGGCCACATTTCCAGGCTGGGACAGTCCTGCAGTCTCCATTTTGGACCAATCCTGACCTAGATCCTACCCAGTTTCTTTCTCCAGACAACCAGAGACAAGGGAGGAAGGATTCAAACTGGAACAATGAACCTGGTTGTATATCGCTCACGCTTGAGTCTCAGGCGTCAGCGGTGGCCGGGAGGGCTTTTGCACAACTGAGACTTGTGCGCCAGCTGTGCCCGTACCTCGCTAAGGCTGATCTGGCTGGGATGGTCCATGCCTTAGTCACCTCTAGACTGGATTACTGCAATGCGCTCTACGTGGGGCTGCCCTTGAAAACGG